GACTACATCTACATACAGGAATCAAACTTGGTATGACGAAAGTTGGGGGATTGATGAGGTACGTGCCAATGTCTCAACTTGACAACGTTTTCCAAATGATATTTTAGCCTTGTGTTTCAATGAACCCTCACAACTAAGACGAGAAACAGACATGACTACATTAAACATGGAATCTAGTTACAAGTGAATTAAGAGTTACATCTAGTAGTGCACAGACAGAGATCCTGCATCAATACTGATGCAGAACTGTTTTATTAGAACACTATCTTCATGATGAGGGATACATGTCAGTGAGGTTTCTTGTGCATGTTAGTTAGAATAAAATGATAAATGTTGACTGTGAAATTCACGCATGTCTCGTGGCTCCGACTACAAAAATCTATATGTGTGTAGAGCTTGAGACTAGGTGTAAACTTGTATTTCTATTAACATTCTAGCTCCTCCTTGAATACATGAGTCCTCTATACTCCAGATAATGTAACAATCAATGATACATGACAAGTAAACTGTCAGAATACAGTAGGGGAGGAGTTCGGTGCTTAGCCGCACGGATTATGACCAAAGAATGTAAGGGGTGCATTCTTGATAGAACCTTAAACTCGGTGGCGCACTTGCCATGAGACTTGGCATTTCGCTCGGACTTGAAATTCAGGACCCTCAGCCGTACTATAGCCCAAGCTAAATGTATACGTTCAAAACAAGTAACTCCACAATTTGTATGAGTGTCAAATTGGAGCATAGGCATTTGACCTGAAGCGGACTAGAAGGGCGAGAAGAGGTCGGATGGATTGCGAGGGATGACTAAAGATCTACTGTAGATAATTTGGAGAACTAAAGGTTTCAAAATGGGTAATATAAGTGTCTAAAGAGTCTAAAGGTACGAGCAAATATTAGTGGTGACTAAAGGTTCTAAAGGTAACTAGAGGTGACTATAGGTTACCAGAGGTGATCCGAAGGTGGTGGTTGTGATAGAAGACTAAGCGTGAAGAACTGTATAGCTACAGGCCAAGCCATCATACATATACTTGCTTTCCTCCCACTAGCTCATCATAACATAGGCCCTAAACTAGTGCCAACATAATAACCAGTGCCAAGAACTGTTCTGTTGTCATAGCAACATCAGGAGAAGGGTAAAATTATAAACAAAAATCAGGATGGGAAGGAGAATCCTTACAATCAGGCAATAACCTAATATCTCAAATAATCCATACCTTAATAAGTTTACTTGAATAGTGTCATTTTTTTTAAATCGTTTAATGTGTATTCACCTATCTAGCTATAAAACATGACCGGTGCTATGTATACATGTGGGATGACTCTTTTGGCATTAGAGACACTCATACTATGGATTTCATTCACAAATGCCACTATGAGGTATGCTTGCTCACACAAACAGTCGACCCTCCTCTGTGAGTACCCACCAAAGAGGAGTTTAAAACCTTTGATTATCCAAGCATTCCTTCGTCATCAATGCACACTAGCGCCGCGAGGAAAGTGGTTTTGTCTTGCTGGATTTGAACCAGCAATCTACTGTCTTGAGTGGGATATGTGTCCAAGCTATCCAGACTCTACCGTGGTGCCACGGTGTCAAGTTTACAGTGGGGCTTTGGCGGGAGTTTTAGCGTATAAACTAAGACGCCTTAGGCATAATCAACTTTCATATTGGAGTTAGCCCCTGTATTTGTGCAAAATTTTGAAAAATTTTGTGTTTGTTGGTTTCACTCAGGTTGGGTTTTGCGACCTCAGGCCATTAGGCTCGGCAGACAATAATAGCTGACTAACATTGAGAGGCCTGTGCGTCTCATCTAATCCATAGACGTTCGAAACACCCTAGATAGATGTAACAATAATATATGCAATTCAGTACATTCTATTTCCATTCCCAGCACTAGTGCTTAAGTCCTGTCAACAGTATTGTAGTTTTTATCTGGTCACCATAGTTTGCAGTGGGTCTTCCCTTCTTGCTAAACCAAACTGGTATAATGATCGGCTGCATAACATTTGTGCATTTTAGCTACTTGATTTTATAGCTTATTTACAAGAGTTCAAAGGTTTCCGAATTACAAAATAGAGCCACAGTCTTATCCTAACCTTGGATCTGAACGTGAGGCTGGAATATTTTCAGGCCTTAATGTCTGGTTGATCCCCCATCCGCATCTACCACAGCCTGACATCTTGCTGCCATACACTGAATGAGTCTCACATGATCTTCGGAAGACACGGAATCCCAAGCCTCCTTTACAATCTTGCAAAGAATATCTTGAGTTCGCTGCTTTCCGCAACCCAGATTCGGATGATGACGCTGCATGTAATCCTTCATCCTGTTCCAAACAGCTTCAATTGGGTTAAGATCAGGCGAGTTGGCTGGCCAGAAAATCGGTTGAACAAGCCTCTGGCTCCTATGTTCCATTGTACTTACTGCTGTGTGGGCAGGAGCATTATCCTGCATTACGGAAAGCCAAGGTCTCATCGAGACCTTGCCATTGATAAGAGGAACTATCTTCTCGCAATATTTTTGGGAGTTAATGGAACCCCATTCATTCTCCCAAAACAAACAAGAGCCTTTTTCTGGCCCTGCAAAGCAACCCCAGAACATCCATCCGACCCTATTCTTCTATTTTTCTCCAATACAATCAGCGTTGTGTTCTTGGGAAGTCTAGCTCATAATGTTAGAGCATCAAATTACCATCTTCTTATTGAGGAATGTACGAACACTTCTTGTCACCTATTATCTAGAATGTCTTCCATCCTCTACCCAAGATTTGTCTGTTCAAAAAACTGACGTTCAGTCTTCATATGTCCAATTGAGATGAGCTTCGGCCCATTCTCTGCGTGTCTTCATAGTTTTCTGAGATACTGGAGGCTTTAGACGAGCCACATGTCAATAATTTCCTCTTTTTTTGGAGTTCTCTTTGCATTACCCGCTTGCTAACACCAAGATGTGTAGGGGGCCAGAGGCGAGTTCCAGAAATGTTTCACGGCGGTTTCCAGGTGAAGACTCAACATAAGATATAATCTGATCAACATCATCTGCTTTCAGCCTTGAGGATGTTCTTTTTCTCTTTTTGGGGGAGACAGTTCCGCGGCGCAGTGAATAGCTAACTTGTCCCCGAGAAATACCTAGCTGCGCGGCAATCTGCGTCTGGTTTCTGCCAGATTCATGAAGCCCATAAATCTTAATTTTCTTTTAATTTATATTTTGTTCATATCTAATTTTTCTACTTACTAAAATGTTTTGATCTCTGGATAATTGTTTGATTCGAGGTGATGAAGGTGGGGTTTGAGGTGGATTCATCTGTAAAATAAGGTTATTATCGAGTAAAGCCATGTGTCTTCTGAATAAATAACTTTGTACTTGAGATATCTTATTCTTATTGTAACTCAAGCACAAGGTGAGAAGAGCTGTGTAATTATTTAGCGGTCGGCGCTCATCAAAGCAATGGGGAAGAACTAGAGAGCGGGTTGGATTTGCATAAAACTGAGGGTTATATGAAATTAAATTGTGCCCTCGGTTTAGGCCTGGAAATACAGGACAAGAATTATGTAACCTGTCGAAATTGGTGCTAACAGGGGTTCAACCCCTGTAGCAATATGCGCCCCATATAAATCCACTGAAAACTTGAAATTGTGGCACTACAGTACTTGGCAGACTGGCCAAGATTATGTTCTATTGCACCATCCAACTGCAACGGTACTTCTAGTGTTGCCTGCACTCTCGCAACCGAAGGCTTGGGACGCACAAAGCTCAATATGTAAAAACTCCTTGCCAAAATTCAAAATTCCATGCCTGTTGAGGCTGTATCCATCCTTCGCATCATCTTGTGGTCTTGTCCTGAATCCTTTCACGTCCAACCCAAAGAACTGTCTACCAGATTTGTGCGCCACACTTTGTGTCCTATGTCGGGTATAAATATCGGCGTGGACACGTATCTGGCGACCAGCTGAGGCCAGAGAAAGTCGACAAGAGGCTTGATCATTGGAATGAGGATGTACTAGGTCGTAGTTGTAGACTTGATGAGGCTTAGATAGGATTCGGACTCTTTGGGAGTGAAAGATTGACATGGTGGAGTAATTTGAATTTTTGCCTCGTGGGCCAACTTGTTTGGTATTGCGAAATTTGACTGAACATGGCTCTGGGAGAATATTTCACTCCCAGATTTGTAGAGGACATCACGCACAGGTGTTCAGTCTTGCCCTCCTTGAATAGTTTCATTCTATGGTTATAGATAATTAAGATTGAGTTGTACCAGGTAGGTACATGTGTAAGCAACATGAAGCCTAATTCACAACATAACTGACTGTGGTTCCATTTTGGCATACAAACCCCCTGATAAATTCCTTGTATCTAAGCCATACAGCTATTCATATATCTATCGGGCCGCCCGAAGCGCTATCATGTTACACATTCCAATCCCCACACTATACAAAAGGAAGCGTCGGGAATCCAGACAGATTGTAGAATCATTAACTCCAAAATACTAAATATCTCCATTTCTGACAAACCTCGAATGAAAGACAAGGTATATCACATAACAAGGTAGAAGATAATAATTTAACTGAATAAAATAACTCTGCACCGAGATCTAAGGTAGCTAACCAAGGGAACTCAGCAAATGACGGATTTAGCGGGCTTGGCTTTGTCATGATTTATAATAAACAATAGTATTCGAGATTAATGTGCCCCATCAATTTTCCAACAAACTCTTTTTATTACTCTCAAATTTGGTCTGCTATTAAGCCAATCCCAGAGCTAATATACTTAAGTATAAGATGTGTGAATTTCCACAATCCTCGAAACAATAAGACCTACTGGCATTGATCCTTCCCTCCAACTATTTTCTACAAATTTACAGCCCGCTCCAGGGTATATCTTATCTCTAACCACGCCGTCTTCCGTACCATTGAAAAGCCGACAATCATCAAATTTACCAAAGATAAGGCACCCATCATTACAGAAGCCTTCGTCTCTTATATCAAGGATCAGTCTACCTTGAATCAAGATGAATCTACTCCATTTTACTGAAATTACGACAATTCTGTGTTTTTTCACATCATCATGTATGGCTCAAACCCTGACTGATGGCTTTCCGATGTATAATTGTTATGGTGTAATCTTTTACTCTGAAAATGTTCTTGCTACAGCTATATTATCAAAAAGGACTGCCAATGGGGCAATGAAAGGCTATCCTCAAATATATGTAGGAACTAACTTAGGTGGCACTGCTCCGCATACTATATTCCCCATCTCGAATGATACTTTATTTGACTCAAGTTGTAAGTTAAAACATCCATACAAATCGGCACCTTCAATTAAAACTTCATCTAGCTTCTCAGCCATTTTATTTCTTGATTGTGGACAGCAAAGGGTTGCAGGTTGGCATGGCATATTTAGGTCTCGATGGTTACATACAGTGTTAGGCCAGGTGTATGGCTTTAATTTTTCGGACATTGGTGCTCTATTTGGTATCTCATCTTACTTGGAATGATATATTTATCATATCCTTGTCCTGTACCTCTAATGATGTTTTTTGAATTTGATTTCATTTAACCCGATTTGGCGCCCTGTCGGCCCATGAAGGCGGCTATGAACCTATCTATATATTTATATCAGGAGGAAACCTTGCGGTAAAAACCCCCTACCCCTATTAACTTTTATATTCATCTGTAGTCCTTTGTTACCTATAGGAAGTGCAATTGGCCTTGAGTCCAAGACAGGACTAGCTAGAATTATATTGGACCTCGCCATCCTTTCCCTGCCCTCGCGTGCTAAAAAGAGACAACTGTGGTATTAAACTTGACCCCGATGGTCCAAATACTTGTGGTGGGGGATTGACCAGGAGCTGTTTGCGCGAGCGTCCTGGACCTCTCTTGAGTACCTCCGGCTTCTGGTTGGACACAGTCGTAATGGAAGTTGTATAGAGAAGCGTAAGCTGTTAGCCTTGTATTTAATATCACCTAGTGAAGCGAGTCGGGAGATTGAATAGTCTGAAAACTATGGTGGAGAGTTGTTGATTAAACCCACTTAGTATAAGAGCGCTATTTAAACTAATTACTACATCTAAGTGAAGGACACAATTCACTTGTTTATGCTAAATAATTGGGAGGCTGGTCAATGTATGAGTTGCCATGAATGTGGCTAGTAATAATAGAACCTTATTATGTTCCGTATTGATGCGCCTCTTCATTGCTAAGTAGCGCGAATTTCAACGCCCCTTCTCACTACGTACCGAAGATGCTGGTGCACAAGTGCATAAGTCTTGGTTTAGGTAGACCTTTTGTACAGATGTCCGCAAGATTTTGAGCTGACAGAATGTGTAGTAAGGTGAGCGTTCCATCATCAACCCGCTCTCTAGTGAAATGATAAGCGATGTCAATATGCTTTGTTGCATCATTGAGCTTCGGGTTATGTGCTAGATTAATAGCGGAATTGTTATTGGTTGACAGAGAAGTAGGTATATTTTTATCCAATATTTGGTTAAGTCCTCTTACAATCCAAAGGAATTGTTTTGTTGCAACCAACAGTGCCATATACTCAGCTTCACAAGTGGAGTGAGCAACGGTCCGTTGTTTGCGAGACTTCCAGCAGATTGTGGATTGACCAAGTTGGAATAAATAACCAGAGAAACTTCTGCGTGTATCGAGACAATTTCCGTATGATGCGTCACAGTATCCATTGAGAACCAGGGGAGATTCAAATTTGTATAACAAACCAAGATCTTTTGTCCCCTTGATATATCCTAATACTCACTTGGCAGCACTTAGGTGATTGATTGGTGGATCTGAGTTAAATTGAGAGAGGCGAGAGACTGTATATGCAAGATCAGGTCTAGTAGCAGATATGATATACATAATAAATCCTATTATTTGTAGATACAGAGTAGTGTTGGCCCTAGGCTCTCCATTTTGCGTCGCCTTTAGTGGTTGGTTACACTCTATAGGCGTTGAGACTGTATTGCAATCTTGCATCGAAAACCTTTCGAGGATTCTTTTTATGTAAGCAGACTGCAATAGAGTGATTCCTACATCAGAGTACTCAATCTGAATTCCAAGTAGCCAGTGAAGAGTTCCCATATCCTTGACCTTGAATTCGGCCTTGAAGTGGTTTACTAAATCTTCGATGAGCTCCTCTTGTTTTCCAATTAGTACTGTGTTGTCCACATAAACTGCAATGATCATTTTACCTGTGTTGTGGATAAATACACAGGGATCAAATAGGGATGGATCAAGACCATAAGGTATGATATATTCAGCCAACCTGAAGAACCATTCCTGAGGTGATTGCTTGAGTCCGTATATACACTTTTTAAGTTTTGCAACATGATCTCCTTGCCTGTACCTTTCAGGAAGTTCCACGTAATTGTCCTCATTTAAGACTCCATATAGAAATGCACTTTTAATGTCGAGCTGTCTCGTTTTCCATTTATTAGATGCCGCAATTGCTAAAATTAACCGTAATGAATCAAGTCGTACAACTGGAGCAAAGGTTTCGTCATAGTCAATTCCTTGGATCTGTGAGAATCCTTTGGCGACGTAACGTGCTCTTTATTGTTCAACTTCCCCATGTGCATCTCTTTTTATCTTGCACACCCATTTGCCATTAACAACTTTTCGTCCTTTAGGTCAAGGGACAACATCCCAAACGTCGTTATCTTTAAGAGATGCTAACTCCTCATCAAATGCCTTTTCCCAGTAAGCCCAATTAGGTGATGATTTGGCAACACTGTATGAGCTGGGTTCAGTTTCATCATGAATATTTAACATGGCTAACTTGTTACCAACACCACAAGTTAAAATCTGCAATTCGGGTTCAGGTAGATCACGAGAAGTTTTCCACCATTCCCCCGTTATCGTGTCTTCATATATCCGAGGACGTATTGTGCACTTTGGTCTAGAGTTAACGGATGTTCATGAATCTTCATTTGATGGATGGCATTGATTTGACAAATTTGTTGTTGGCTGGGGTTCAATCTGAGCAGTAGCTAGTTATGATGACGTTTCTTGTGATGATGGCTCTATTAAATCGGATTGAATAGTGTGACATGGATCTTGATTTTGATGGACATTTCGAATATTTTGTTCTTGTTCGACATTTAGAGAATTCAATGAACTGTTCAATGTCAGTGATGATGTTGGTAAGTTAGGTTGATTTGTGATATGTGGGTAGTGTTATAATAACGAGGTCATGAGGGGACTGAGTAATACCTGAAATGGATGCAGATGATTATTGATGCGCGGATATAATTGATACGGCTGTAGTGAGAAGATGCGTTGTAACGGACAGTAGTGAGATGGTTAATTCACAATCTATTTGCGGAAGTATTGCTTCCTTATATATACATTCAGTACCCCAGTCCTGATCACGCACTCACCACAGGTGCTTCCTACTTCTGTCACAGTAACCACTTCCATAGCCCCTGCTAATATCTCCTGTCATCACATACTATTGACACTGGTTGCTAGTGTGGAACTTCCGGGATTACAGAGCTATACACCGTCGTCACATTATATGCTGTTGCTCCTTGCTAGCCATCAGAGTGATGTGCACCTCAGTCTAAACGCATTGGTCCACCAGGCAACGCTCGGATGTAGGGATGTTGCCAGAGTGATTAGGTACTTAGCTGTACTATCAGTGCCCTAATCTCATCTAGCTTACTGCGGCCGAGTGTCCGAGTGCCGCAATGGTGGGAGCCCAATGAGGCTCGATTGGAGCTGACCCGAGGTATTCACAACAGGTAGAGATCAGAGATTTTCTCTGGGACAGACTAATCAAGCTGAGGAGATAAAAGTTTCACATCTGCTGATGTGATAATCAATTTTCTCTCAGGAACAAATATTTGATAGTGATGATCGACTTCAGTGTATCCAACGAACACACCTTTCTGCGTCCTTGGCAGAAGCTTGCTTCCAGATGGTCGCTTCGCCATGGGGACATGCACGTAGCATTCTCTTCCAAAGGGTTGAAGGTGTAAAATGGATGGTTTTCTCTTGTGGAAAGCTTCATATGGGGTCTGTCCATTTACAAAGCCATGTGTAGTACGATTTTTAGTGTAAATAAATGTCTGCGCTGCTTCAGCCCACAACTGCTTATCTTTAACTGTATTTAGCATTGCTCGTATTCCTTCAGAGATCGACCTGTTAAGCCTTTTGGCTACACCATTTGATTCAGGGGAATAGGAAGGAGTCAAATGATGACTTATCCCCTTCTGAGTAAGATATTTGGATAGTGATTCATTGACATATTTGCCACCATTATCTGTTCTAAGTGACTTGATTTTGCAATTGAACTGTGTTTCCAAGGCCGTAATAAAATCTATAGTGGCTTGCGATGCATCAGATTTGTATTTTAGGGATCGGATAGTTGCACATTGTGTTGCATCATCTATGAAACTTATGTAGTATAAAGCGTTGCCATACAATGGAGCAGGGAATGGACCTGCAAGATCTGAATGAATATATTCGCCTTTGAGTTTTGCTCTAAAAAACTATGGGGAAGGTTTTGATGTACTGATTTGGAAGACATACAGGCGTCACAGTAAAAGTTCTTGTGTGTATTTGGGATGATACCTGAGTTTTGTATGAGCTTATCTGTCTTAGACATTGTAGAAGGCGCTGAATGACAGAGCTTCATGCCAAAATCAAAGGTTGAACATGCGGTCTCATTGTTTTCGGTCCTTTCCCTGATCACAGGTAACGGACCATTATAATAAGATTCCAACCAAGTTTTATTATTTTTAAAGATCCTCATAGTTATACCATTGTCCTGGAGCATATATCCTTTAGATCTAGCTTTCTTCCAAGAAAATAAAGGCAGGGATAACTTGGGCACGTAGAGTACATCATCTATTCTGACAGTAGAAATATTTCCATTTGATAGTATACAATTTAACAGTACAGTTCCTTTCCCCTCGATTGATATCTTTTCATTTGAGCTTGATATTACGCAACCAGTGCAGGATGAAAGTTGTTCAAATCTTCCTGGATAAGGGCACATGTGAGCTGTTGCACAGGTATCAAAGTAGAAGGGATGATGAGTAACTTCTTGAGGTCCATTGACAGCAACATTTGCTCGTTCATGGATATTGTTAAGTTCTCTGGATATCATGGCTTTCCTTTCGCGGAGTCTGACATAAGAGTTCCATACACAATCTTTGTACTCGAACAGATGATGTTTCTTAATGAAGGAACATTCTCTTGGTAAAGAGTTTCTAGAATGTCTAGATTTGGTAACCTTTGATGATTTTGCTACTCTTGAGGTGTTATTTTTGAGCTTCCTAAACTGCGTAATCAGAGCTGTATGAGGAGAGGATTGCATAGGTAATTCATGGTCAATGTCAAGAAGACGTTGCTTGACTTCAGTACAGGATAGATTATCCTTTGTTACCAAGTTGACAACAATATTCTTGTGATTCCGACTTAAG